AGCTTTCCGAAATCAATGTTCTAATCACACTTTTACTTTCTATTTTTAATTCTTTAAAAAAGAATTTTTAAGGTTCTTAAACTTGCATGAAACTTCTTTCTTCAAGGATAGAAGAAAACTCACTCCATGTAATGAAACTTGTCTTTTTGAAGTTTCTTAATATTAAAAAAGATGCTGACAAGCAATATCCAAAAGTGGTTAAGAGAGGAGATACAGATAGACGTTGACTTGCAACCATAATTTGGACTGGAATTTTGGTCATTGAGTGAAGCAATTGTTAAGCCATGTGTTTGCTTTGCTCAATGACTGCAATCCCAGCACTGCTAATTGTGATTTTAATTGCCCAGGTCATTAAGCAGATTAAGCAGATGGAACTGTCTGCCAAAAGATTTCAGCTTGGAATGGGACAATTGGCTGCAACAGCTGGCCCTGCCCACTTCACACCAGCCTCCTTATCCCAGCCAACCCACCATGGGGGTCCCTCCCCATCACTCCTCCACTGCCACTCCTCCCTCTGTCACCTTGTCCTGGGCTGTCTTCTGGTCTCTTTGGGAAATAACTGTATGGAAAACTTATGGGTAATCCTGATCCTCTCCTTACGCCAGAATAATTCTGAGGTGACAATCCATTCTCCAGCTTCTTGTTCTGCTATGGACATCAGCTTTGCTCTTTTTCAGTCTACTATTGTTTCCTTATAAGTCAATGCCAACTCTTTCTGCATTTTTAATATTCTAACAAATCTGGCATTTTCCACACTATACATGATTTTATGTATCTCTATCGTGTCTTCCCTTATTGTATTTTCTCCAGCAAAGTTGCTCTAGCTCCTTGACAGCTTTTCAGTGTTACACTAACCTGTCTGAGATATATAATACTTATCTGCTTGACATTGACTCCCCTCAATATCTGTGACTATAAATTGGTTTCAATAGTCCTTGATATTCTGGGAGCATGGGTATTTGCTTGCAGATATTACATTACCCATCTAGATAACATAATCAAGGCTACTACGATTTGAAACTGAGATACATATATTCTCTTCTGTTGGAACCACATATGGATGTCATATGCTTAGCAAAGACCACAAACGGGAGAAATTTGCATTTAGGCAAGCCTTAATCCAGAAACAACTATTTTTTTCTGCATGAATGTCTATGACAGAATGCCCTGCTCATCAATGTCAAATAAAAAACCTCTGGTAAACTGTACAGATGAATGGAAAATACCTCAACAAAATGCCCCCCCCCCAAATGACACGGCTAATGATCACAGATGCTCATCTCAGACTAAACAAATACTAGCACATCATGGATAAGCTCAAGGAGCAATTGAAACAAACCATGACCCCAGAAACTATTAAAACGCTGGAAGATTACCTCTCTAAGACAAACTGAAACCTGGAAAACAAAAGTCCGAACCAAACTGCTCAAGCTACACCCCAGAAACAAAGAGATACCTGAATCCAAATAGGTAGACAATATGTCCAGTTGCTTGCTATCCATCAAAGAATGTAATATCCTCCAGAAAAGTCTCAACTAAAATATAGATGATACTAATGAGTTACAATTCTTGGCAGCCTTAGAAATAGCATTTAAAACCAGAGGATTTGCCATATAGACACAAGAAAACAATCATACAACAGACCAGAAGAACACAGAGGAAGATGAGAACTGATGATGTTACCTAAATGAGTGATGAAATTTCTGGATGTGAACTCTGCCAAGAAAGCTGCTCGGATAGGTTCATGCGAAGCACCAGGACTGAGTTCAAAAGTGAATCATTTTCAAACAAAATTAAAATGACAAGTGGAATTTGACCAGTGTGGGGTTTTCTTTCTTTAATATTCTTCTATGCAGGGCTATCTATAGGGCAAGGTTTAAAAAAATCACAATGTAATTGAAACTGTGCCTGATTTCTTCTATGTGTTTCATTGAATTCTGTTCATAAAACTAAGCAGAGCTTCTCTCATTCTGATGCAACCATCTTTTCATTAAAAAAACCCATATCCTGCAGAGACCCCTGTTTCTATGTCAAGGTTGCTTACTTCCTTATTTCCCACTAAAATTTAAGACGGGAAACATGGCATTTATTTTCTGCAGCCCAAAATCTTATGAGAAAATGTGTACAAATATAAGATGGGTTGGATAAGTTGATTTCCTTGGGTTTTGTTTTACCTTGTAAAGCTCATTTTGGGGGGAAGGTAGCAGATGGGAGACTCTTCTATCATACAAAAGAAAATGCCAATATGGTTATAAAGGAATTCAGGCCTTCCAGACATTTAAAAAAAGACTTTGTCCTGCCAAAATAATCCCAGCTGGTTTTCATATGATGAGAACTTTCATTTAAAAATAACAACAACAACAAAAGCCACCAACAACAGAGGTTTCCTACACTTTGATGAATGAGAGAGCAGACCCCAAATGCTGGGACAGGCATTTTTAATAGCCCAATTGCTCAATTAATTTCCAGCTCCTTCTCTCTCCACCACCCACTTTTAATGTGAAAATCATCATAATTCCTCACAGATTAGTATAGATAGAAGCTGACGGACTTTCCTGCTCAGGGTATTTGCAGGACATAATTCATTCATAAAGCTATAATGCAGTCATCTATCATCTGAATTTTTTTCTCCCCCTTTCCTCTCTCCACTCGCCCTTTCTGTTTCTGCTTGGGGCTCTCTAGAAGTCTCTGGGCGCTGATGTATTAGCCCGCATATGCAAGCTATGAATTATCAACTGAAAGAAGTCAATTATCCACTCCAAAAATGAGCGTCTGGGCACCAATAGCCCGAGGGGCCTCTTTTGTATTTACGAAATGATTTCATGGCAAGTAGAAGTAGTGCGGGGTGTGTGTGTGTGTGTGTGTGTGTGTGTGTGTGTGTGTATGTGTGTGCATGCGCGTGTAGGTGGGTGGGTGTAAGGTTGTATATGCCTACATCCCTTGGGGGAGAGTTTTCCAGTCTCCCCTCCTTCTTCTTCCACCCACATGGTACCTTTTGGAGAGCAGAAGTTGGACAGCAGAGGTGAAAATGGTTGGTAGAGGATAGATGAATGGAGTCAGGCAGGCATGAACTATTTTAAACTTTTAATACAACAATCCATTTTTATATAGACCTCTTTTTATGAGTGATTTCCGCATGCCATAAAGCAGGCTTGCTTAGCAACTATAACCCCTTACCTCTTTTTCTCCTGATTTTAAAAATTCTGTCAGGTTTCAGTCAAAATGTAGAGCCAAGTTAATGGGAAACCAATATATTGGATTGTTTGAAATCAATCCAATATACTCGTGTCTTGTGCCCATCACATCAATTTCTTTCCTTTCGCATTCAACCACAACTAGAACCACAAGAGAATCAAAAGGGCTGCCGAGAACAGCAGATTTTCCATGGCATAACAGGCTTCAGTCGAATCTGGCCAAGATTGAGTTTTGGGCGTCCTCTGGCTCATAGATTATGCCATTTTTAGTGCTGGATGTGATTGCACTACCCCAAACAGACCCAATGTGCAACCTAATGGTCCCTATGGACTCATGACTCCTGCTTGAAGTGTGAGTAGCAGTAGTAACTAGGGAGGCTTTTGAAGAGCTTTGGGTTATGCACTAGTTGTGTTTGTTCCTGGACCAGGAAGCTCTGCTCACAGTCACTCATGCTGTCCTTACCTCCCAAATGGAGTATCTGGAAGCTCAAGCTGGTGTAAAATGCAGCAGCATGGGCAATTATCTGCTCTCCTAGAATGGAACAGGTTACACCTTTTCTCTGCAAGCTACATTGGTTGCCAGTTTGCTTCCAGGTCCAATTCACGGTGCTGGTTTTGACTTTCATGGTGCTGGTTTTGACCCCTGTGGACCATTCTCCCCTCCTTCCAATATGAGATTCGCCTGACCCTTAAAACATGGCTGTGTCGGAAGGCCTGGGAATTTCAAAGAAACAATGATTTGATGAGATGGCTAAATAGTTTCCATCATCAATTTGCTCTACTGTCTTGTTATTAATAATATTATTGATGTCTTTCAATTGCAACTGTTTTAATATTTTAATCTTATAATCCTTATTAAGCCACTTAGAGTCACTTTATGATTATATAAATATGATAAATAAATGTTTAGGACAATGAGGTCATTAGGCAGAATTCTAGAAAGGTATTGATAGCTCATTGTAGGTTTTGGAATTGGAATTTAATAGGGGATATTCCTCACTCTCTCCCTCCCCCTTAAGAGGGAAATTTTGATTCATTCTAGGCAGGCAATTCAATAAGCTACTTGCTTATGGGTGGAAGCCTAGAATGGTATGAGGTATTCTCTGCTTCATCTTATAGTCTTTTCATTTAAATAAAATTGTCTTTTGATATATATCTACAGATATATATGGTATGAGGTATTCTCTGCTTCATCTTATAGTCTTTTCATTTAAATAAAATTGTCTTTTGATATATATCTACAGATATATATGGTATGAGGTATTCTCTGCTTCATCTTATAGTCTTTTCATTTAAATAAAATTGTCTTCTGATATATATCTACAGATATATATGGTATGAGGTATTCTCTGCTTCATCTTATAGTCTTTTCATTTAAATAAAATTGTCTTCTGATATATATCTACAGATATATATGGTATGAGGTATTCTCTGCTTCATCTTATAGTCTTTTCATTTAAATAAAATTGTCTTCTGATATATATCTACAGATATATATGGTATGAGGTATTCTCTGCTTCATCTTATAGTCTTTTCATTTAAATAAAATTGTCTTC